TTCAGGAACTACTATAAAGGGCACATGGACAAAACCAAGGGGGAGGGAGGAAGCAAGGGAGGGAGATGGGTTTGGCTGGGGTGGGGGAGAGCAGTGGGGAGAAAATGCAGACAACTGTAATTGAACAATAATAAAGTATTTTTTTAAAAGAATGCAATATCTGAAATAAATAATACACTGGAAGAGTGGGTTAGATGAAGCAGAGGCAGAAGATCAAATCAGTGTTTTGAAACACAAGGTAGGAAAAAAGCACCAAGGCAGAGCACTATAAAGAAAAAAGAATTTTTTAAAAATAAGAAGAGCATAAGAAATATGTTGGACAACATAAAGCAGAACAACATCTTCATTATGGGAATACTAGAAGAATAGAGTGAGCAAGTGATCAAGAACCTATGTGAAGAAATAATGACTGAAAACTTCCCTAATCTGGTGAAGGAAAAAGACACACAAGTCCAGGAAGCTCAGACAGAGAGTCCCAACCAGTTTTGACCCAAAGAGGCACATAGCAAGACATATCATAATTAAAATGACAAGGCTTAAAGACAAGGAGAGAATCCTAAAAGCCTCAAGAGAAAAACAGGTAGTTACGTACAAAGGAGCACCAATTAGTCATCTGATTACTCAACAGAAACATTTCAGGCCAGAGGGGAGTGGCATGAAATACTCAAAGTGATGAAAAGCAATGTTAGTCTACCCAGCAATGCTGTCATTTAAAATTGAAGGAGAAATAAGGAGTTTAACAGACAAGAAAAAGCTAAAGGAGTTTGTTAGCACCAAACCAGTACTGCAACAAATGTTAAAGGGCTTGCTTGAAGAAGAAGAAGGAGAGAGGGAGGGGGAGGAAGAAGAGGAGAAAGAAAAGAAGGAGGAGAAAAAGAGAAAGAAAAGAAAACAGGTAAACAGTCTAACAATAAAATAGCACTAAATATGTATATATCAATAATCACCTTAAATGTAAATGGCATAAATACACCTACGAAAAGACACAGGATAGCTGAATGGATAAGTAAACAAGACCCACAATATATGCTGCCTCCAAGAGAACCATCCCAGATTGAAAGATGCACACAGACTAAAAGTAAACAGATGAAAAAAGATATTTCATGCAAATGGAAAAGAAACAAAAAGCTGGGATGGAGCAGTACTTATATTTGACAATATAGCCTTTAAAACATAATATAGTAAAACTTTAAAACACAGTAAGAGACAAAGGAGGACACTATATAATGATAAAGGGAACAATCCAACAAGAGGAAATAACCCTAGTAAACATTTACACATTCAACATAGAAACACCTAAATATGTAAAGAAATTCTTAATGGACATAAAAGGAGAGACCAACAGAATTACAGTCATAGCTGGGAATTTTAACACCCCATTGACTTCAGTGGATAGATCTTCCAGGCAGAAGATCAACAAGAAGACAGTGGCCTTAAACAACACACTACCTCAATTGGGTTTAATTGATATCTTCAGAGCATTTCAACCCAAAGCCAGCAAAATATGTATACTTTTCAAGGGCACATGGAACATTTTCTAGGGTAGACCACATGTTAGGACACAAAACAAGTCTCAACAAATTTAAGATTTAAATCATATCAAGCATCTTCTCTGACCACAATGCCATGAAACTAGAAAGCAATCACAAGAATAACACTGACAAACACAAAACCACACGGAAGCTAAATAACGTTATTATACAATAAATGGGTCGACAAGATCAAGGAAGAAATCAAAAGATACCTTGAAACAAGGAAAAATGAGGACATAACAATCCAAATTCTGTGGGACATTGGGAAAGCAATCCTAAGAGGGAAATTCATAGCCTAAAGTGAGTAAAAGGAAGGAAATAATAAGGATTTAATGATACAAAAAGATCAATGCATATGAGGCTGGTTCTTTGAAAAGATAAACATAATTTACAAACCTTTAATCAGACTCATCAGGAAAAAAAGAGAAAGGACCCATACAAAGAAAATCAGAAATGAGAGGAAAAATAACAAGTGATACTAAAGAACTACAAAGGATTATAAGAAAATATTGTGAACAATTATATGCCAAAAAGCTGGACAACCTGGATGAAATGGATAAATTCCTAGAAACATACAATCTTCCTAAACTAAATCATAAAGAATTTGAGAATCTGAATAGACAGATCATACCTAGTGAAACTAAAGCAGTAATTAAAAAAAAAAAAAACCCCACCAGCAAACAAAAACCCTGGACTAGAAGGCTTCACAGGTTAATTTTACCAAACATTCTGAAAAGAACTAACACCTATTCTTCTCAAACTATTTCATAAAATTCAAGAGAGAAGGTTCCAAACTCATTTTACAAGGCTAGCATTATCCTAATTCCAAAACCAGATAAAGACACTATAAAGAAGGAAAATTATACACCAATATCCCTGATGAACATAGATGCTAAAATCCCCAACAAAATATTAGCAAACCAGATACAACAATGCATCAAAGCATCATACACAATGATCAAGTGGGATTTATTCTGGGAATGCAAGGTTGGTAGAACAGTTGCTAATCAATAAATGTGATTCACCACTTAAACAAAATGAAGGACAAAAACCACATGATGACATCCATAGATGCAGAAAAAGCTTTTGATAAAATCCAGCATCCATTTATGATTAAAAAAATCTCAGCAAAGTGGAGTAGAGGGAACATACCTAAACATAATATAGGTCACATATGAAAAACCCATTGCCAACATCAACAGGCAAAAGCTTCAAACATTCCCCTTAAAATTGGAATAAGACAGGGATGTCTACTTTCACCTCTCTTATTAAAAATAGTACTGGAAATCTTAGCCACAGCTATCAGACAAAAAGAAGAAATAAAAGGCATCCAAATTGGAAAGGAAGAAGTAAAACTGTCTTTATTTGCAGGTGACCCAGAAAGCCCAAAGATTCCACCAAGAAACTACTAGAACTGGTAAACAAATTCAGCAAAGTAGCAGGATATAAAAGTAATATTCAGAAATCACTTGCATTTTTATATGCCAATAATGAACTAATAGAAAGGGAAATTAAGAAAACAATCCCACTTGCAATTGCTTCAAAAGGAATACCTAAGAATAAGCCTAAGAAAGGATGTAAAAGACCTGTACATGGAAAATTCTAAGACACTGAAGAAAGAAACTGAAGAAGATACAAATCAGTGGAAGCACATACCGTGTTCATGGATAGGAAGAATTAACATCATTAAAATGTTCATTCTACCCAAAGCAATCTATAGATTTAATGCAATTCCTATCAAGATTCTAATGATATATTTCACAGAACTAGAACAAATACTTCAAACATTTATATGGAACCACAAAAGGCCCCACATAGCAACAGCAACCCTGAGAAAGAAGAACAAAGTAGGAAGAATCATACTACCTAACATCAAACTATACTACCAGGCTGCAGTAATCAAAACAGCCTGGTACTGGCATAAAAACAGACATAGATCAATGGAACAGAATAGGGAGCCCAGAAATAAACCCACACCTTTAGAGTCAATTAACATTCGACAGAGTGTATAAAATGGCCTAAGGATAGTTTATTCAATAAATGGTGTTGGGAAAATTGGACAGATATGTGCAAAAAGGAAACCAGACCAGCTTCTCATACCACACACAAAAATAAATTCAAAATGGACCAAAGACTTAAATGTTTGACCTGAAACCATAAAAATCAGAGAAGAAAACATACACAGCAAAATCTCAGGCATTGCTCACAGATTTTTCTTATTGGATATATCTACCCAGGCAAGGGAAACAAAAGGAAAAAAAAAACAAATGGGACTACATCAACCTAAAAAGTTTTTTCACAGCAAAGGAAATCATCAACAAAATAAAAGACAACCCACAGAATGGGAGAATATATTTGCTGATACATCTGATAAGGGGTTAATATCCAAAATTTATCAAGCACTTCCGAAACTCAACACCAAAAAAACCCAAACAACCCAGTTAAAAATGGGCAAAGGACCTGAACAGACACTTCTCCAAAGAACACATACAGATGGCCAACAGACATATGAAAATATGCTCAACATCACTAATCATCAGAGAAATGCAAATTAAAGCCAAAATGTGATACCCTCTCACATCTTTCAGAAGGGTTATCATCAATAAATCAACAAACAAGGGCTGATGAGGATGTGGAGAAAGGGGAACCCTTTTCCATTGTTGGTGGGAATGCAGACTGGTGCAGGCATTATGGAAAACAGTATAGAGATACCATGAAAAATTAAAAATGGATCTGCCTTTTGACCCAATGATCCCACTTTTGGGAGTATATCTGAAGGAACCCAAAACACTAATGCAAAAGAACATAAGCACCCTATGTTCATTGCAACATTATTTACAATTGCCAAGATATGGAAGCAGCCCAAGTATCTATCAGTAAATGAGTGGATAAAACAACTATGGGATATTAACACAATGGAATACTCTCAGCCATAAAAAAAGAAGAAAATTTTACCCTTTGTGACACTATGGATGGACCTAGAGAACATTATGCTAAGTGAAATAAGCCAGTCAGATAAAGACAAGTACCACATGATTTCATTCATATCTGGAATCTAATGAACAAACTGAACTAACAAGGGAAATGGGGACAGACTCATAGATGGAGAGCAGATGACAGCTAGTGGAGATAGGGAGGTGAGAGGGTAGAGGGATTGAGCAAAAAGGAAAAAAGACTCATGGACATGGACAACAGTGTGGTGACTGCTGTGGGGAGGGGAGTATAAAGGGACTAAATGGTAATGGGAAAGAATTAAATAAAGATTAAAATTAAAAATTAAAAACTAAATGAATATATTTATATTTTTAAAAATATTATAAAAGCTTCTAAATATTCTAGAATTTAATGATAAGAAAAATATTACTTTATTACATTATATATTATATTATATATTATAAAGGAAAGCAACTTTATAATAAAAAAACAATTTCATTCAATCTCTGGAATTTCCACGTGAGAGATACTGACCTCAGGAGATAGTACAGAATAAGCCTGTGGTGGTTTTTCCAGTGAGACTGGTAGGCAAAACTGTCCAGTCTTTAATCGTCCATTCTGAAGCATTGGTATCCACTTTTAAATTAAAAAAAGGAAACAATATTCATTTAAATATGTTAATTACAAAAGCACTTACTTGGAAAATCTGTTTTAAGAACTTGATATAAGCCACATTTGTCTCATATCCTCAAACACCAAAGAGATTTAATGAGCCTTTTCCAAATTTCCCAACATTATTTTATTAAGGATGATCCATAAGATATTATAAATACTAACTATACAACATTTAAACTTATAGAAGGTCCATATTTGCCAAGGGAAAGTTGTAGTAGAAAAAGGCCACAAAGTGTTATCAATGTTAAATTGGAATATTAGTGTAAACGTAAACAAGAAAAAAAAAGACTTGATTAGATATGAATGTTGAAAAGAAAATTTTAAAGCATGAACATAAATTTATTTTCTTGAATTTAGGAAAATTCATGTCACAAACTGCAAGAGACAAAGAAAATTAATCAAATATTGACTTCTCTCTTTGGGATGGAGGCATAACCTAACAAAATTGTAATAGCATAATATATTCCATGTCCTTCACCTTAGGTTTACTTTTGCAATTTGATTATAATGATTTTCAAATAATACTCACAAGTTTATGCCCTGACCAGTTTGGCTCAGTGGATTGGGCATCCTCCCACAAAGTGAGGAGTCACCTGTTCAATTCTCAGTCAGGGCACGTCCCTAGGTTGTGGGTTTGGTTCTTGGTCAGGGTGCGTACAAGAGGCAACTGATCAATATTTCTCTTTCACATGAATGTTTCTCTCCCTTACTCTCTCCCTCCCTTCTCCTCTCCCCCAAAATGAATGAATGAATGAATGAATTCAAGAGTTTAATTGCCTTTAATTATAGAAAAAATGTATTTAATAGCCAAAGGTCTTTAAATCATTTCACATTCAAAGTATTCTTTTCTGCAGAACCCATACAGCCATTGTATTTATATTGTACTGTGGGGTAAACACACAATAATCAGGACCAACACCAAAGTGTTTAGACATGTTAGTCAATTAATCATACTAATGAGCATTTTCTTGTTACAGTGATTCTTCCTAACCAATGTGGAGGATCAGATAAGAAATATACCAAGTATATCTTAAATATTTACTTATTTTTGAGATCAAAGAGCTAAGTATTTAACAAAAATATACTTACTGTATATCCAACAGGAGTTTCAAGAGGTGTATTTTGTTTTTGTTGACAACTAACATGATAAAAAGTAAAAAGCAAATGATGATGGTCAGTTAGAGTAGCAGGAAGTTTAACTTTGATTTCTTCATGAAAATCAGGAGACCTTCATACAAAAAAAAACAGATCAATAGTCAATAAATTGTCCAAAATAAATAACCACTGCATTTGCATATTTGAGTAATTTTAAAATTAATTTCAAGATTCATGCTTGATTTTTCTTTATTCCCAAATAAGTAACTAACTCCTCCTTTCAGAAGAAGGAGCTATAAATGTTTCTAAAATTTCTCCTCTCACTTTTATTAATAGGAGGAGTAATCCCATTATTTGAAAATTAATTAATAATTACCACCTTGACACTGAGATCGTCATTAGATTGGAAACTATTAAACAGGAGACTAGGGCAAGGCTTTCTATATTTAAAAATCAATTCTGATATAAATCACATAAAAACTAATATAAAAGTTTTGTAAGTATATATTTTAAAACCATACCATAAAAAACATTTCTCTGTTACAGGAGTACAGCTTCAATTTAAGACTAATTTATATTATCCTTTTGTAAAAAAGAAAAAAAAAGGTATCTTTAGGCAACTTAATATCAAGTCAGGTTCTCTATGAACTGTCTTGCATCAATTATCCCATTGGTAAAGAAATAATGTTACCAAAACATGAACTAGTATGCTGACTAACAGCTCAAAGAAAAGAAAAAAAAAATCAGGGAACAACCACGAGTTACATTTGTCCCACATATTAGAAGTGCCTCCAGCCACTGTAAGAATATAGCAATTATCTATATTTGATCAAAGTAATGGAATTTTCACCACAATATTCATTAAGAATTTTTATAGGAAAGCATGGCTACTATTTATGATATAGATTTAAAAAGGATAGAGCCTTAGCATCCCAATTTTCCACATTCAGGTCCTATCTCTCAGAGTCATCCTCAATGAAAATGCATCCAAACCATATAGCTCCTACTACTTTTAAAGTGAAGGCTGTCCCACCAAAAACCAATTAGAGTTTTTTTCTATGCTGCTAGTAGGTCAAATATCCTTCTCAAATAAGCCTCAAAAAAGCTAACAGGTATAGATTTGATCACAGAAATAGTTGAGTGGAATGAGGCTTTTAATAATCACCAGAAAGATAGGTAATGCTAGCTATCTGAGAATTTGATGACTTTGGTGAATAAAAGATGCTATACATCTTATTATGATATCACTAGTCACCAGTGAATTATCAGAAAGGTGAATTTACTAACAATGTTTGCTGGTATTCTCATTGTAATTCTACTAATGCTAAGAGCAACAAAAATAAAGACTTAGCCACAAATGAAGATACTTATAGAAATTATTACTTTATCAATATCCTTCCTTGTATTGAGTGTTTTAGTTCATGTCTTTCCTCACATTATATTATGTGAAGACTTATGGAACATTAAATATCTACCAGTTAGTTATTCGTTAGCAAGTAAACAGCCCGCCTTTAGGTTAGGAATTGTATTACTTTTATGATGGCTTTAAAGATTAACATGAAAAAATAATTACCCTGAAAAATATATATAACTTAGTGGAAATATAAGTAAGACACACATACAACAATAGCTATGCTATAAAACAGGGGTTGGCAAACTATGGCCCACACACCAAATTCAGTCAACTGCCTGATTTTATATAAACTACAAACTAAGAATAGTTTTTATGCTTTTAAATGGTTAAAAACATCGAAAGAATGTTTCACTTTAGTGTATTACATGAAATTCAAATTTCAGTATCTATAAATAAAATTGTACTGGAAGACAGCCAGGCCCATTCATTTGCCATTTTACTCATTGTCGATGGCTGCTTTTGTACTACAACGGCAGGGCTGCGTGGTTGCACAGAGACCATGTGGCCCACAGGGCCTAAATATGTACGATTTGGCCCTTTGTGAAAAAAGTTTGCTAGCCCCTGGTACAGAGCATAGAAGGTTAATGCTTCAACAACAGAGTTCAACAGATTACTTAAAGTTTTAGACCAGGGAACTGTATTTAGAAAGAGATATATATCATGGGCCTTAACGAATGAGTAAAAGTTCAGTAAGTAGAGAGAATCAGCATATAAATAAAGATCCGAGAAAGACCCAGAAACAGGACAGCACAGAATATGTTTGGAAATGAGGCAGAAAGAAAATCATCAAGATGTAAAAGATGACTGAATGTTAGAGAAAAGAAAAAAGGAAAGCAAGGATATCTAAAACTTTGAGTCAGAGGACTAAAAAATTAGTGGTATTATTAATAAAAATGAACAGACAGAGATAAGGTCTAGAAGAAGGCCAGGGATAAACACACGGAAACTGAGAAGGCAGCAGGGAACCCAAATAAATATGCCCAACAGGCCACTGAAAATACCTGTTTGTATCTCAGACTGAAGGTCATGACTGAAAAAAAAGTTGTGACAGTCCATATAAAGGTAAAAAGTAGTAGCATTTTCATTGAATATAACTCTGAGAAATGCATATAAAATTATTTAGGAAGAGAATATTATAGAAAAAGGTTAAAGACAAAAACTTAGTGTTTTGTGCAGAATGTCTATACTTAAAAGAAAAAAATAGAATGAATAATTACTGAGGCAGAAAAGAAGTGTTCAAACCATAAAGGTGAGAAAGAAGAAAGTTTTAAGGAGGACAAGGAAAAACCATGCTACACAAGAGCATTGCAGTAGATACTTGTTTTATTTTTTAAGAATAAGAAACAAGCTTGTTTTTAACAAGAGAGATGGAGCTAATGAAACAGGAACTGATGACGCAAGAGAAAGGATAACTGATGAAGTCATATTCTGGAAGACGGTGGCAAGACTGTTTGACAGCAGAAGTGAAGATTCCCATTGAGCAGAATGAAGGCCATTACTGCTTTGAAACAGAAGGAGAGGCAGAACAGTACAAAGATAATTTGAGGTGAAGAGCAGAAAAGTTCATGTGTCTCAAGTGGGATGGACTCAATCAACTTAAATTAGGAAAGCCAAGAGTAAAGCAATCAAAAAAAGTAGGAGTTAGAGGAAGGGGAAAAAAACTTAAATTAGCTCTTGCAAAATTAGAGACAGGGTTCAAAAAGTGGTGACAAAAAGATTACCAAAGAGTAATCTTTTGGAGCCAAGAGAAGATAAAATAAAATAAAATGAATTAATATAGCCCCATCATATGATAAAATAATGTGAAAGTCCTGATTAGTATAATTTTGTGCTTTTTCTCCAACAGCATTCAATTAAAAAAGAAAGAAGCAGAAATAAAAGGTTATTCAATGTTAACAATTTCTCAAAGGAGTAAAATGGAAAGGCATTAAGTCAAAGGATTATTTGATGTTGAAAATACCATCACTTTAACTGACCAACAGGTTCAAGCTTAGTAAAGAGTTAAGTAAAGGTGCAAAGTGTTAAGAGAATATAATAGGGAAAGACCAAAGGACCAGAAGCCACAAAGATAATCAATAATAATATAATACAAATGAAAGGATCAGAGAATTTGATAGGAAAGATGTTTTGTGTATAAAGTCTTATATTTGAGATGTCTATGGAAAATGTGGATCTGCATGTTGAAAATTATAACTTTGATGTCAGCTATCTTGAATTTGCACATTCAGTGCAGCAAAGCATTTGGTAAACACACTAACGTGAGTGCTAACAATGCCAGTGAGGAGTGAGTAACTTTGAAAGAAATATTTGAATTCAGTACCTGTTATGATATACTACGGCTGTATAGGCTTCCTTTGAAAATTCTGAACAGCTAGATTTACCAAAGATTACCTGTAACAAATAACAGCACGTTGAAACTTTGTTGTAATAAATGCTGGATGTTTCATATCTATGTAAGAATTTGTCTGATTTAATAACTATTTGAGAACAATGGGCAAAAATCAGCCCAATGAAGAATAATGTGCCTACTGACGTTCATTAATAAGTTCAACTGCTTAATTCTAAATTTAAAGACCCATCTGACATTCAAACATTCAAAAAATTTCTATCCATTATATTCATATCTATTGGGCAATAAGATACATTTCTTTCTTTTATAAGAAGGTGAAGATTTCATTTTAAAATCTGGATGTAGCACATCATTTGGAATTTATGTAAGAAATATGGCCCTAGAATGGTGCATATATCTACCATAAAAATTGGTGGCTTCTTCACTAAGACAGCAGTCATGCTGAAAGTCAAATATATATTATTTATAAATGATATTTAAAAATCCTATTTTAGCCCCGTCTGGTTTGGCTCAGTGGATTGAGTGCCTGCCTGCGAACCCAAAGGTCACCAGTTGGATTCCCAGTCAGGGCATGTGCCGGGGTTGGGGGCCAGGTCTCCAGTTGGGGGTGTGCAAGAGGCAAACAATCAGTGTACCTCTCTCGCACATAGATGTTTCTCTCCCTCTTTTTCCCCCTTCCTTCTCTTCTCTCTAAAAATAAATAAAATCTTTGTTTTTAAATCCTATTTTAGGTATCATTTGCTTCTAGTACTACCTGCAAGCTACTCTACATGGAAGGGAAACATTTTAAATTCTTACACATGTTTAAAAAAATCCACCATATTAAAAAAATACTATGCTACTTTGGGAGGTTTAGCAGTAAAATTTATAGTTTTATACATATCTGCCTCTTGAATTCTAACAGCAAGCGGTGGAATATTCAGGCAGCCCATTAGAACAATGGCCTAATGATGTCATGGTCACGGCTGTGATTCCTGGGTGGGTGAGACAGTTAGGCTTACAATGTTATCTAGCCATAGATTAAACTCCTGTGTCTAGCCAGCCATCTCTGCATATGCACGAATAGGTACTGCAGACATGCCATCATACTACCATGAACACAACTGGTAAAAACAACTCAAAGTGTATTCCTTATACAAGGGAATTAAGTAACTAGCACCATCCCAAAATAAAAAGAACATACTAAACAGGTATTTTGTCTCTTTTTACAGTATCTCAAGTGGGTCTTTTTACTTTAAGGGTAAGTAAACTATAATAATTATGACTTTCCTAGATAACTCCAATTTTATCAGTTTGCTAAGAATACTATGTTTTTTATAAAATGTTTTTCCAGTGTCAGAATTAGAGTTTATCATATTTACATTATATGATCAAAAAATTACCTTAGTCCTTATTTTTTAAAAAAATAAGCAAGATGTGTGTTTATACATGCGTTCAAACCAACCACTCACATAAACATAAAAGTATCATATTTTCATATGGCCAATAATGCACAAATAGAGGAATACAGTAGCCTTTTTTCCTCTGAGAGGCTATCATTTTCCACAAAGTAACTCACTTATTTTTACAACATGAGTGATATATAGTGGAAAGTGTTTGATTTTCAACCATCTGACATGTAATTTTAGTCATTCATCAATACAAACTAAGCACCAATTATGTGCCAAGCACTAAGATAGGCATCAAGATATAAATATGAGTGAGACGTGGTCCCTGCCCTCAAGGAGCTCACAGTCTAGTGGATGTGATGAGGAAATAAACATATAATCATAAAGTGATTAGGTCCATAAAAGAAGTGAAAAGATACTATGGTAGCACCAAGAGAGGGAGTGGCCTAACTGTCAATGGGGCTGGATGCAGCTAGGGATCTGTAGAGGAGGCCATAGAGATGCTAAGACAAGGAAGAGTTTGTTAGGCAAACAATAAAACAGATTATTTTACATATATTACATTTGTCATAAAGTCAAATTTATATTGCAATTCACATATAAAATAACAAAGGATCTATTTTTACAAGCCAGTATCTTTTCATCAACTACAATAGTATTCATTCCTTCAGCAGAAATAAAGGGCTAGTAAAGAGTATGAAATGATAATTCAAACCTCAAAAATAAATTTTATATTTATTCAACAAATATTTATTCAACATGTATTGTATGCAAGGATCTGGAATAGCTGCCATAAAATACAAAGATGAATAATTTGTGCTTGCTGTTTTCAAGACCTAAAAATGCTGATGAAATTGAGGCAATAGGAAAGAAGAAAAGATACAGCTTTCCTGGTTAGAAAGTCAGAACTTGATTCAAATGACTGACACAGAAGGCTAAAATAAAACTGTTAACAATGTACTTATTCTTAGCTCACTTGCATTCCACTAGGATTGTCAGAAGTAGAACATCTACAGTGACAGATGTGCTCCTATTCCATATGTTACTAACTTCAAGCTGAGCCAAAAATCTATTTTCATGGAAATGCATTTATTAGTGTCCCACAAATACTGAATCACAATTTGGACAATCAAGAACTGCCCCCCCCACCCCCACCCCTGCCCCCGCCCCGGCCCTGGCCTCAATCTACTATTTTTGACTCACCTTCCATTGCTCTGGCTTACTGGCAACTCACTCCTATATCTCCATTGAAGGGCATTCCCCAACTTTAGTTGCTTTCCTTCCCCCACTATCTAGACCCATTATCATTAACATTTTCACTAGATTTAAGGCATTCTCTCCTATCATCGAACACCTAAGCCTTTAAATCCCTATATCAATCTGCTATAATTAGCACAAAATGTAATCCCTGGGGGAGATTTTAAAATACCGATACTGCCTGGTTCCCACACCCAGAGATTATAATTTCATTGTAATGAGATTCAGTCTGGACATTGATATTTTTTTAACACTCCCCAGGTGAGTGTAATATGCAACCAAAGTTGAGAGCGATGGCCAGAATTTCTTAACAAAGATGGGAAGAACCATACATATTAGAATCACCAGGAGAACATTTTCAAACTATACCACAGCCCATTACTTTCCACCTCCCTTGCCTGGCCTTTCATTCTAAATGAGAATCAGAATCACAGATCCCAAGATAGAGAAAAGTTATCTGTGCTTTGTTAGAGTACTCTAGGTAATTCTGATCTGACCCTCTTTTGAAAGTCACCATTTTAAAATTTTATGCACTTATCTCATATCCTCTAGATTACAAGTCTTATTCATCTTTGTATCTCTGGGAGTGCCTTGCATTTACCAAATCCTCAATAAATAAGACTTCAAGTAAATTTACTACTATCTGTATGAAAAGTAATACAGTTAGAAATTTATTTTTTAAAATCACATTAATTTCCAGCTTAAAGGTGCCAACTAAGTAATACTACCTCCAAAAAAAGTCCATATGAACTACATACAAAGAATAGGAAAAGTAAAGAACATATCTTACCGGCATGGCATTGCTTGGATCCTCCCCATACATAAACTGGACTTTCACTGTTATATTTCTGGCAGAACCTTGACGATTGGCGAAATTGAGACTCTGAGGGTATATGTAGAGAAGATTTCTGTGAAGACAATAGTATACATGACAGTGAATACATATCTGAAAAAACTATCACTACATGTCACAAAATAGATGAACAAATACTGAATTACTAATATTTGCTAGCCACTATGTTAAGTATATCCACATACAATCATTTAAACAGATGGCAGTCAAATACACCCCGATTTTGCAAATGAATTGAGGCCCAGAAAAGTTACGTAATTTTCACATACAACCAAGTAGGTGGCAGAGCTGAAATCAGAGTATAGGTCAGTCAGACTTCTAAACACATGTTCTTTCCTCTACAAGAGGCTTTTGGGAAACAAATGAGTAAGGACTGAAACATTATTAAGAAATTAAAAGACAGTTCGAATGTTATTTCCTCCATGCATGTTTAAATAGGATGACATTTCTAAATGCAGTTTTTATATAAATGTCATCAAGGATTTAAGTGGCATAATATTACAAATTATTATTCAAAAACATGTATGACAATATGGTAAGTACAGCAATATGTAAGTTACTATGACACAATCACATATTACTCTCCATTTGACTACATGTCCAGTTTATAATCTTGCATCTTACACAACTTTAATAGCCCCTGCTGCCAAAACAGAGGAAAAATAATTCAAAAAAATATTTCAACACAGAGGAGAAAAAACTCACCAAAAGAAAGAGCTAAAAGAGAAAAAGAATGAGTGTTACTCTACCTGAAGACTAATGTTCAGAGTTGATAAACAAAACTTCAAGCATAATAAAGCCCTGCTAACGAACTACTTGAGCATGGAAAATAGGTTAAATTTTCAGGAAGGTGTTAGGGCAATGGAGAAACTTGAAATGAACACACCCTTTGATCCAACAAACCCATCATTAGTCTGAGGGGAAAACTACACACAAGTACAAACGGTGTTTAAAAGAAATTCACTACACTTTTTATAATAGGATATAATTACAAATAATTGTAAGGAAATAAAATGCTCATCGGGACTAGATTAATTAAATGAATATATTAATAAGGAATAGCATGGAGCCCCCAAAACAACAATGTACAGTAGTATTCATTCATGTAGAAGGAGATACCCAGCATGTTGGATAAAAAATAGTGTAGGTTCCACAGCTGGATATATAGTGGCATTACCTTACTTTTAGAAATTTGGAGGGGGGGGGAGGATATTTCTAAAATATTCATAGTGGTTAATAGTGATAGCTCTAGTTTCTTTTTGGTAATTGTTTGAAATTTTTTACAGTGAGAATATATGATCTTTGTAATTAGAAAAAGTCATAAAGCAGTTTCTGTGGTGGGAGGATGGGTGTGTATGGCAACAAGCATAAACTCTGAAAATCACAAAAGAAATGGAGAACAAAGAATCTGTTGTGTTCCAAATAGTCAAAAGTGTGAAAGGCAAATATGAAAAGGTTATGATCAGTTTCCTAATAAAAGAATTAAAGATCAAAGATGACTATGACTAACCACTAAATTCATCAAAAAAAATTTGTATAGGGAATAATTATTGATTCTGTACCAGGGAAATAAAGAAAGATTAAAAAGCCATCCTCAGTCTTGAGGGCCATACAGTCTGATAGAATAAAGTGCCTATAAAAAGACCATTTCACAACAATGTAGTGTTGTGAGAGGTATGCAGAAGCTGGGAGAGAAAGAGACAGTTGACTGTGGGGAAATCTTTTCATCTTCTACCTCTGCAACATATTTTTTGAAGAAATTGCACGATTTTTGTGTAGATTTTTCCAGAAATTATATTTTACTGATTGTATCCCAGTAGTGACATTTAACATATTCCTCTGTTTTCTGTAAATTGACAGTTGGATCTAGAGTCTTGCTCATATTTAGATTCAAATTTTTTTGGTAAGATCACTTCATAAATGATACTGTGTCCCACTATTAGTCTTCCTCATATTTAGATTCAAATTTTTTTGGTAAGATCACTCCATAAATGATACTGTGTCCCACTATTAGGAAGGAAATGTTTGGTTATTGTTTCTCTTTTTGTGCAATTAGTGGACAATGGAGATTAATGCCCAAATTAATTAGTAAGGGGTTGCCAAAAGGCAATTAGCCAGGGTTTACCACATTTGAAAATTCATTCTTTATTTAGGAGCTGGAATATCTCTATGAAGAGTAGTTTTCCTCATCTACTATTTTCTTAGCCAGTGAGTTATCATATGAGAGGGAGGAATAAATGCTTGATTCTTTTCCATTATTTGTCAGTTTGCAAAATAATCAGTCTTTTCTTAGCATTACTTTTAAACTCATGAAGCAAACATATAAATTAACAGATTTCAATACATTGTAGTTATTATCTTTACTGGTGTTTAAATTGCCCCATCTTTGGCAAATGAAAAAGCCAATTCAAGCTGGCTCCTAAATCCTTCTGATTCAATCATAGTAGTCTTTCATGACTTCTTGCTGTCTATTATGACAAGATATTCCAGGTTCTTCTTACACACCTTCTCCCCAGACTTGGAATCAGACATTTCCCCAACAAGCTACAGTTCTTTGAATGACAAATGTTTTTCCAAGCCACAGACTGGACTCTCATTGTGAGTTACCCATGGTTTCTAGGCTATTACACTGTAAAAAGTTATGAAGAAATGCTTTTGCCATGAAACATATCCTGAATTCATATTGATATTTCAAATTCAAATTCAAGATTATAATAAGGTTTTTCATCTTTTCAATCTTGCATCTATATATCATTTTCCTATACTAAGAATCATTTTATCAATATGTAGTGTCCTTATCACTACAGCTTTGGTTTTCAAGTCTATTTTGTCAGACATAAGAACTGCTACCCCAGCCTTTTTTTCCTTTCCATTTTCATGAAATATCTTTTTCTATCCCTTTACTTTTAGTCTGTGTGTATCTTTCAATCTGAGATGGGTCTCTTGGAGGCTGTATGTATATATGGGTCTTGTTTTCTTATCCATTTAGCTACCCTGTCTTTTGGTTGGAGCATTTAAGCTATTTACATTTAAGGTGATTAATGATAGATACATATTTAGTGCCATTTTATTGTTAGGCTATTTTCCTCTGTTTTTCTTTTATTTCCCTCCCCCGATCCTCCTCTTCCCATTCCTTCTCCTTCTTCAAGCAAGCCCTTTAACATTTGTCACAGCACTGGTTTGGTGTTAACAAACTCCTTTAGGTTTTTCTTGCCTGAGAAGCTCCTTATTTCTCTTTTGATTTTAAATGATAGCCTTGCTGGGTAAAATAGCCTTGATTGTAAGTCTTTGTTTTTCATCACCTTGAATATTTCATGCCACTCCCTTCTGGCCTGAAATGTTTCTGTTGAGAAATCAGATGACAATCTAATTGGTGCTCCCTTTTATGTAACTACCTGCTTTTCTCTTACAGCTTTTAAGATTCTCACCTTGTCCCTCCCTATGAGTCTCATTGTGGTGAAGTCATTTCTTCTCTCTGTCCTTGGTTATAAGACTTCTCTCCAGCCTGTGTTCAGTTTTTTATTCAGGATGATTTCTGTAAATTTAATTGCAATTCAAGAGTGGTCCTGTGAGGAAGTTAGTGTAGCTTCCACCTACCCCTCCACCATCTTGTATGTCTTTGTATCCCTTTTAATACAACCCAACTCCATGAGGGCAAGGACCTTATCTATCCAGTTAAGTGCTATATTCCCAATATCTAAAATAGTGTCTCATGTTGAATGACTGATTAAATAATACAGAATACACACAAATATTTAGTTAGTTAACAATTCTGGGAGTTTGGATACCAGGTTAAATGGAAATAAAGCGAACATTATATATAAGCTATGCTTGCTTTCCAATGTAAGCAATACATTTTTAAAATTCAACTTGTCTCTAAAGGTGAAAGGCATGCAATTGAATCCAAATACTTTTCCACTTTAATATTAACTCCACTAATAAATTCCTACATAATCCTAGTAAGCCTTTACCTTGCATTTACAATATTCCTTCAGAGAAATTTCATTCAGCAGGGACAAGGTAGATTAATGAGAAGTGTTGAGATAGCCAACCAGCCATTTAGGAGGAAAAGCTGAATTCATATTTTACCCTCTCCTAAAATAAATTCCAGATTAATCAGTGGTTTAAATAATAAAAATAAAAATACTAGAAAAGCTTTAAAGAGACCATATTTTATAGATGAGGAAGACAATTGTGAGCATTAACCACAAAAATGATAAAAGACAAATTTTAAAACCTCTATAGAGGAGGTGACACATAAACATAGAAGAAAAACAAATGAAAAACTGGAAAAACACTGTTACATATATGACAAAGAGCATCTAAAATAGGTAAATAATTCCTCAGATTAGTCAGAAAGAGACAAAAAAAGGGAAGATTAAGAGTTTGATGGAGGGTATTATTATAATACTCAGGGACTTCACAAACAGAGCAAAAGAGATGGCCAACAAAATAAACTACATATATTTGCCTATAATATTTATTGATTTTTTTTGTCTTTCTCATTCAAAGCACTTGTAAACATTCATGGGACAAGAAGAACTTTTCATATATTCTTGGTAAGAGTGTAAATAGCATACCCTTTTGAAGGATAATCTGACAAGAAAAACAATAACTTAAAAGTCAACATCTATAACATATGGAATAGTGTCAATAAAGAAAAATAAGTCAACATCTATAAACATACTCTATGAAAACATTCATACACATACATAAAGACACTTCCTATGTATAGTGTTTGTTTTTTAAGTATATTTTATTGATTATACTATTACAGTTGTCCCATATTTTTTCTCCCCTTTATTCACTCCACCCTGATCTTCCCTCCCACCAGCAGTCCTCCCCCTTAGCTCATGTCCATGGGTTGTACATGAAAGTTCTTTGGCTTCTCCATTTCTCATAGTATTCTTAACCTCCCCCTGTCTATTTTGTGCCTACCAGTTATGCTTCCCTGTACTTTTTCCCTTATCCTCTCCCCCCACTCCCTGCTGATAACCATCCATGGGATTCCTATTTCTGTGACTCTGTTACTATTCTAGTTGTTTGCTTAATTTG